TGGATGCAGGCCAAAATCCCATTGGCTTTTTTTGCCGCCACATCACATTGTTGGCTCATGTTTAACTTGTTGTCCATGAGGTCTCCAAGATCTTTTTCACACGTACTGCTCTCGAGCCAGGCATTGTCCCCCATTCTGTATCTTTGCTTTCTTCAAACAGCTTTTTAAGTGTCCATTTTGAATGCTGCCAACCAGGGAGGCTTGACATTTGTTCCAACATCTCCAGCCGCTAATTTTTCGTCCCATTACTGCTTGCACTTAAAATAACCAACCATCAAACAGCAAGTGCAAAACTGACTTCTTGGGCTTCCAATTCCCCATTTCCAAATTGCTTTCTGGACTTAACTACGAAGTACACCACAGAAGGGATGAAGCATCCCACTAGAAAGTTCATGTCTAAACAGAAGCGGAAGTGCACACGCAGCCTTTTACTGTTAACCTACATATTATTACAGAAGCTCTCGGTCCCATTCAAGCTTCCTCCTCTCCTATTGCCCAATTTTTCTCTGAACTGCTTTGCTGCTCATTCCTATCTGAAGGTTATTACATCTACTTCTCCCTCCTTCCTCTTGACAGGCACCTCTCTCAAACTTTTTCATTCATATCAACAGTGGGACTCTCTCAGAGCAGAGAGATAACAGAATGTGAAATCATACGAGGGTTGAATGAAAAGTAATGCCTCCACCTTCGTAACTCCTCAACAAATGGCAGTACTGGTATGCGGCAGGTACTGGCTTGTTCAGTAGACTCTCCTCTACAGTTCCATTTTGGCAGGAAGCCTTAGCATTGAATGGTTGTGTTGTTGAAGTGCAAAGTATGGAACCCTACGCAGACTGTTGGAGTGAAGAGTTGTGTTGTTAAAGTGCGAAGTATGGAACCCTGCACAGACTGTCAGTCAATGTGACTTAAGCAACATGCAGTCATTGAATTCTTGACACCAGAAGGTGTCACCCAAAAGAAGATTAATCAGAGATTGCAAGCTGTTTATGGTGATTGTGTTGATGTAAGCACTATGCGTTTCACTGGGCGAGTAAGTTTAAAGATGTTGAGATGGGAACATCTGACTTGTGTGACAAACAATGACTGCACGTTGTTTAAGTCACATTGACCGACCGTCTGAGCAGGGTTCCATACTTTGTACTTCCAATTCCTTCACTCTTCACTCTTACTTCCCCTCTCTTTCACCCATTCTTTTAGCTTCCTTCTTTTAAATGTACTCTTGTAAAATCTCAAGGCTCTCCAGGAGGAAGACAATACTCCAAAAAATGGCCTTGCCCTGAATTTAAGAAGTCGCACCTCCCACAGCCAGACCCCTTATACACTGCCATATAATTTAGATTATCAATGCAGGTAAAACATGTTATCTGCTTTGAACTGGAATATATGAGTCTACACTACCATATAATCCAGTTCAAAGCAGATAATCCGGATAGGTACTGTGTTGTCAAAGACTTTCATGACCGGAATCACTGGGTTGCTGTGAACTTTTCTGTCTCTAGGGCCATGTTCCAGTAGCATTCTCTCCTGACATTTCGCTAGTATCTGTGGATGGCATTTCCAGAGGTCAGAAGATGCCAGCCACAGATTGGCAAAACATCAGGAGAGAAAGCTAATGGAACATGGCCATACAGATGTCMGAGCGGATGCCACAAGGGGGTGCTAGAGAGAAGATAGTCAAGGGGGGGGGGGGTTGAAGGAGGAAAACCATTTCTCCTGTTTTTGCTGGTTATTCCCCCTCCCCTTTTCCCATATCATAAAGGAGGGTTACTTCCACAAGGGGGACATGGGTGGAGGGAATAACAGGAAAACAGGGGGAAATGGTTATACTCCTTCAACTCCCTTCTCCACATAAAAAAATGACTATTCTCTCTAGCGCCCCTTTTTGCCTCCACCTGGATCATAGAATAATAGAGTTGGAAGAGACCATGTGGGCCATCTAGTCCAACCCCCTGCCATGCAGGAAAAACTACAAAGTATCCCTGACAGATAACCATCCAACTTCTATTTAAAAGCTTCCAAGGAAGGAGTTTTCACCATACTCCAAAGTGGAGAGTTCCACTGATGAACAGCTCTCACAGTCAGGAAGTTCTTCCTAATGTTTGGTGGAATCTCCTTTCCTGTAACTGAATCCATTGCTCCGAGTCCTAGTTTCTAGGGCAGGAGAAAACAAGCCTGCTCTCTCTTCCTTATGGCATCCTTTGACATATTTATACATGGTTATCCTGTCTCCTCTCAACCTTGTCTTCTGCAGGCTAAACATGCCCAGTTCTTTAAGACACTCCTCATAGGGATTCATGGTCTCTTTGATCCATTTTAGTCACCTTCCAGCTTGTCAATATCTTTTGAACTGTGGTGACCAGAACTGGACACAGTATTCCAGGTGAGGTCTAACCAAAGCAGAATAGAAGGGCACCATGACTTCCCTTGATCTAGACACTATACAAGATGTTGTGAGCCACGTTGGGTCTGCCTGGAAAAAGGTGGCATAGAAATCAACTAAATAAATAAATAAATATATACGCTTTTTGATGCAATCCCATTGGCTTTTTTAGCTGTTGCATCACACTGTTGGCTCATGTTCAACTAGTTGTCGACTAAAACTCTCAAGATCTTTCTCACATGGACTGTTGTCAAGCCAGGCTTCACCCATCCTGTATCTTTGCATTTCATTTTTTTTCTACCAAAGTGCAGTATCCTACTTTTCTCCTTGATATTCATTTTGTTCATTTTGACCCCGCTCTCTAATCTGCTGAGATCATTTTGAATTCTGATCCTGTCCTCTGGAGTACTAGCGGTGCCTCCTATGACCCATCCACACAGCAATATAACCCAAAATATTAATTTATTTCCTATATTTATACCTCACCCTTCACACCCCCAAGGAGGGACTCAGGGCAGCCTCAAAAACACCATATGGTATGATCATAATAAAACAATCAACAACACATTAAAAGATTAAGAATATTAAAATAATAATTTTAAAAATTGATTAACACACACCTATTAAAATCAGAGTCTAAAATCCAGTCTGGGTCAAATCATTGCCGTAAGTGTTAAAACCTTCTTTTATTTGCTTGGTCCCAAAGCCAGGTCTTGATTTTTCTTCTAAATGACAAGAGGGAGATGGCCATTCTGATGTCTCTGGGGAGAGCGTTCCACAGACGGGGGCCACTGATGAGAAGGCCCTCTCCCTCTTCCCCGCCAATCTCACTTGTGACAGAGGCGGGGCCGAGAGCAGGGCCTCCCCAGAGGATCTCAGACTCTGAGATGGGACGTAAAGGGAGATCAGTGTGTCTGCACCCTACACCACTGGAGAAATTACACTGCTTAGCCGGTATTGCACCACCTGACATCCACCGGGAAGTAGCTGCCAATAGTGAAAGGACCAAGGCAATGACATCTCCGGCCCACCCTCTGTTTGGCTATCAGCCAGCATGCAGACTTAAATCAAGAAATAGTTTTCTAAGATCTAGAGACACTCGCTGGAACACCTCAGCAAGCGAGAGGCCAAAAGTGGCAGTCTCAAACCCAAAACCTCAATCAGTGGCTGATACCAAATGAGATACTCCCCCCTGGGCACACTGAAGACTGGGCGACTTGGAAGGCGCTGAACAGACTGCACTCTGGCACCACGAGATGCAGAGCAAATCTTAAGAAATGGGGCTACAGGGTGGAATCCTCAACATGCGAGTGTGGAGAAGAGCAAACTACAGACCACCTGCTGCAATGCACCCTGAGCCCTGCCACATGCACAATGGAGGACCTTCTTGCAGCAAAACCAGAAGCACTCCAAGTGGCCAGATACTGGTCAAAGGACATTTAATCAACTATCAAACTCACAAATTTTGTATTCTGTATTTTGTAGGGCTGGGTAACCACAGAAAAATTTGTTTCTAACCTCGATTTGTTTCCAGGGGGCGCTAGCATTTCCAAATTCTAAATACTTCTGAAATTTTGAGATTTCAAAATTTTGTTATTTACGAAATTTCGTTAATTTCAAATCGATTCGTTAATGGCGGACGCGATTGCGCAATATGCTAAAAAAACCCTCCAAATGGGACAGGGGGAACTTCTGAAGCTTCCCTCTCCCTCTGTTGTTGACTGTTGGTGTGATAATTTATTTTTTATCACTGATAAAACAAACAACAACTATAAAACTTGCACCAGACATACGGAAATAATACCGAAATAATAACGAAACAATTTCGAAACAATTTCAACCAATTACGAAACAATACGAAATAAATTGAAAAAATTGTTTCGATTTTAAATTACTCCTCACACTATTCCTGCATGGCTCAATATCGGATCGTAAGCTAATTTAAATACGAATTAATAACGAATTACAAAATTAACGAACGAAACCGCCCAGCCCTAGTATTTTGTATTCTGTTTGTTTGTTTGCTTTGTTCTGTTAGAAATGTAATATAATTGACTGGTTGCGGATGACTCGATAAATAAATAAATATGCATGTTTTCGAACTGCTAAGTTGTCAGAAGCTGGGGCTGACAGTGGAAGCTCACACCACTCCCCAGATTCGAACCTGTGACAATTTTGAACCAATTACGAAACAATAACGAAATAAATTGAAAAAAATTGTTTCGAATCTAATTTACTCCTCACACTATTCCTGCATGGCTCAATATCGGATCATAAGCTAATTTAAATACGAATTAATAACGAATTACGAAATTAACGAACGAAACCGCCCAGCCCTAGTATTTTGTATTCTGTTTGTTTGTTTGCTTTGTTGTTAGAAATGTAATATAATTGACTGGTTGCGGATGACTCGATAAATAAATAAATATGCATGTTTTCGAACTGCTAAGTTGTCAGAAGCTGGGGCTGACAGTGGAAGCTCACACCACTCCCCAGATTCGAACCTGTGACCTTTTGGTCAACAAGTTTAGCAGCTCAGTGGTTTAACCATGGAACAGTACCTTTGGTTTTTATCTGGCAGTGCAGAAGACTCCACACACCAAAAAAGAGGCCAATCCTGTAACATCTAATGTGTTTAATCTGTATCACACACGTCAAAACAATACAAAAACCCACATGGATCCAAGAAAGGGAACAACTGTACAAAAGGCTCCCCCAATAACCGCCTTTATAGAACAAAGGTGGCTAAGGGTAGACCAAAAACATGACACACCAGGGAACAACAGATCCTCCCCAAGGTCTCAAAGACAACTCCATCAGGAAGCCAGAACCCAATAAGGGGGGAGTCCCAGGAGGAGAGAGTCCCAGGAGGAGAGAGTCCCAGGAGGAGAGAGTCCCAGACTCCCTGCAATGCTTCCTCGAGGTCAGAAGGCCACGATGGCGGTGCTCCAAGGGCTGAGGCTGCGGAGGGGCTCCTCCTCGTCCTGCCTCCGCCTCCCTCGCCCTCCTCCTCCTCCTCCTTTCTTGCTCAAGAGTCCCGAGAAGCTGGATCCGAAGATGGAGATGAGGCTGGCCACGTTGCCGGGCTCCCTGCCTGGCTCCTCTTCCTCGCGGCGGGGCTTCTTGGAGGGCGCCTCCCCTTCCTCCTCCTCCTCCTCTTCCTCGCGGGCGGCGCTGCGCTTCCTGGGGCAGAAGGGCAGGGCGGGCAGGCGGGAGCAGCAGCAGGAGCAGCCCGGCGCCAGGAAGGGAGGCAGCCCCCCTCCTCCTATTCCTCCTCCTCCTCCTCCTTCCAGGAAAGCCTGCCGCGCGCTGCGCAGGACCAGCGAGACCAGGAGGTTCTTGTGCAGCTTGGCTCCGCCGCGCTGGCACCGCGCGTTGTACATCTTGCCCAGCGAGATGCTCACGATGCGGTGCGCTTCCAGCCGGCACTCCATGCCCGGACGCTCGCCTCCGCTTCCACCTCCAACAGCACTACGCGTCCCCCATCCTTCTCCTCCCGATTAGAGCCAGGCTGCCTGGAACGCGCGCTTTTTACCCCGCCGCTCAGCCTCCCCGCCAATCAAGAGCCGGCTCGCCTGGAATCCAAACTCCGCCCCTCTCCGCGCCCGCGCCCAATCAAAAGAAGAGAGTGGGAAGGTTTTCGAATGTGGGCGGGGGAGCCCCAGCGGGCCCGCGAGGCTTTTAAAGGGGCAGCGCCTCTCAGGGGAAGGGAGCATCAGATTACACTATGGCCTCCAACTTTGTTGTTCATTCGTTCAGTCGTCTCCGACTCTTCGTGACCTCATGGACCAGCCCACGCCAGAGCTCCCTGTCGGCCATCACCACCCCCAGCTCCTTCAAGGTCAGTCCAGTCACTTCAAGGATGCCATCCATCCATCTTGCCCTTGGTCGGCCCCTCTTCCTTTTGCCTTCCACTTTCCCCAGCATAATTGTCTTCTCTAGGCTTTCTGTCTCCTCATGATGTGGCCAAAGTACTTCAACTTTGTCTCTAGTATCTTTCCCTCCAGTGAGCAGTCGAGCATTATTTTTTTCCAACTTAAAGTCAACAATTCCCAATAGGAAATATTCTGGTTTTAGTTTAATTTTTATTTGGAGGATTTTTCCTGTCTCTATACAAATCTGGCGCCAATAGGTCTTAATTCTTTTGCAGCTCCACCACATATGTATGTAGCTTCCATTCGCTCTTTGGCACTTCCAACATTTCCCCTCTATGTATTGTCGAAGGCTTTCATGGCCGGAATCACTCAGTTCTTGTGGGTTTTTTCGGGCTATATGGCCATGTTCTAGAGGCATTTCTCCTGACGTTTCGCCTGCATCTATGGCAAGCTTCCTCAGAGGTGAGGTCTGCTGGAGCTGGGAAAAGAGGGGTTTATATATCTGTGGAATGACCAGGGTGAGACAAAAGGCTTTTGTAAGTTGGGCTAGGTAAAACGTCAGGAGAAAATGCCTCTAGAACAGGGGTAGGGAACCTTTGGCCCTCCAGCTGTGGTGGACTTCAACTCCCACAATTCCTTGAGGCTCGGCATTCGCCCCAAAGGCTTACCTTGGCCCAATGCCGAGCCTCAAGGAATTGTGGGAGTTGAAGTCCACCACAGCTGGAGGGCCAAAGGTTCCCTACCCCTGCTCTAGAACATGGCCATATAGCCCAAAAAAACCCACAAGAACTGAGTGTTTCCCCTCTATCTTTCCTTTACTAAATTTGGCTATCTGTTCCGGTGTTAGGTACCACCTGTAGAAAAGCTTGTACCAATTTTCCTTGATTTCATTTGCTTTTATCTTTCCACAGCTGCCCGAATTAAATTAGCACAATATTGGAAATCCAATGAGATACCGACAAGGGAAGAATGGATCCTAAAAATATATGATATAATGAATATGGATTTACTAACAAATAAACTCTCAAGCAACTTAGATAAAACTAAAAACACAGACTGGGATAGAGTTCTGAACTATCTCGAGAACTGAAGAATTGAAAGAAAAAAGGAAGACGTGCATAAAACAAGGAAACCTGAAAAGACACCAGAAGGATACAGAATATAAAACAGACTTAGTTCACATACACAGACCCGCATGGAAGTTTTCTCACCCCCTAACCCTATCTTGTACCTCCCCTTACCTCAACCCCCCCCCCCACGAATGGAAAGGAAATGATGAAGGAACAGATGATGTAGTAGTGAATGAATGCATACCAATCCCCCCTCCCTTTAAGTGTGGATGGAATCCCTCCCCATTCCCTTTTCCTCTACCCTCACATTTCCCCCTTTCCCCTTATGCACCCCCCGATTTTTATACTTTTGTACTCAAAAACTCAATAAAAATATAAAAAAAAAGAAAAAAAAGATTACACTATGGCCTCGTCTACACTGCTATATCATCTAGAGCTGTGGTTTATTTACATCTTATTTATTTACATCACTTATATCCCGCCCATATCAGCCCGCAGGCGACTCAGGGTGGTTCTCAACCTTCCTAATGCTGCGACCCCTTAATACAGTTCCTTATGTTATGTGACCCCCAGGCATGTAGCCGGGGGGGGGCTTGGGGCTTCAGCCCCCCCCCCCCCGAAATTCTGATGGTGGTTCGCAAAAAGGCCTTACTGGTGCATTATTTAAACTGTTATGTTTATTAGAGAGATGGGCCAAAACTAACAAAATGAAGTTCAACAGTGACAAATGCAAGATACTCCACTTTGGCAGAAAAAATGAAATGCAAAGATACAGAATGGGGACGCCTGGCTCGAGAGCAGTACGTGTGAAAAAGATCTTGGAGTCCTCATGGACAAGTTAAACATGAGCCAACAATGTGATGTGGCGGCAAAAAAAGCCAATGGGATTTTGGCCTGCATCAATAGGAGCATAGTGTCTAGATCTAAGGAAGTAATGCTACCCCTCTATTCTGCTTTGATTAGACCACATCTGGAATATTGTGTCCAATTCTGGGCACCACAATTCAAGAGAGATATTGACAAGCTGGAATGTGTCCAGAGGAGGGCGACTAAAATGATCAAGGGTCTGGAGAACAAGCCCTATGAGGAGCAGCGTAAGGAGCTGGGCATGTTTAGCCTGAAGAAGAGAAGGCTGAGAGGAGATATGATAGCCATGTATAAATATGTGAGAGGAAGCCACAGGGAGGAGGGAGCAAGCTTGTTTTCTGCTTCCTTGGAGACTAGGACGCGGAACAATGGCTTCAAACTACAAGAGAGGAGATTCCATCTGAACATTAGGAAGAATTTCCTGACTGTGAGAGCCGTTCAGCAGTGGAACTCTCTGCCCCGGAGTGTGGTGGAGGCTCCTTCTTTGGAAGCTTTTAAACAGAGGCTGGACGGCCATTTGTCAGGGGTGATTTGAATGCAATATTCCTGCTTCTTGGCAGGGGGTTGGACTGGATGGCCCATGAGGTCTCTTCCAACTCTTTGATTCTATGATTCTATGATTCATATCATGATCTGATCACTATACTCAATATATCCCATATGCATGGGGGTATTGGGGTGACGATACAAAAGGTTTGCTAGGGTAGACCCTCTTTCACTCAGACTCAGCCCCCCCCCCCCCCCCCCCCCCCCAAATCCCCCCCCCCCCCCCCGAAACGAAATCCTGGCTACGGGCCTGGTGACCCCCAACCATAACACCAGGATGCATTTAAAACTAAGGCCGGGCCAAATGTAATGATTAAAAATTTTGAAAATGCTGGACATGAAAGGTGAAATGGATAGGTTTTTGGAGATAGGTGCGATGTGCAGACAATCTTAAATCTCTAACAAAGTGCATTTGGGACATGATGCTAGGAGTTTCCTATTCTGGAAAGGCACACTGGGACAGCCAGGTCTTCAAGCTCTTCCTAAAGACTGCCAATGTTGGGGATTGTCTGATGTCCTTGGGGAGAGAGTTCCAGAGATGGGGGGCCACCACGGAGAAGGCCCTGTCCCTCATCCCCACCAATTGCGCTTGTGACGCAGGTGGGATAGCGAGTAGGGCCTCTCCAGATGATCAGAGGGATCGTGTGGGTTCATATACGGAGATGCGGTCACGCAGGTAGGCTAGGGCTGATGTTCTTATTAATTTTGGGTCTGCACCCCATGTGCTGCCAGTAAGTTTCCGCAGGATGTTATTGTGTGCAGCTACTTTGTGCTTGGTGTTCAAGCAGTGTTTCCAATATGCTAGTGTTCGATCTAAGGTGACGCCGAGATATTTAGGATGGAAACAATGTTCAAGCTCCTGACCTTCCCAGGTGACTTTCAATTTCCTGTTGGCTTCACGGTTGCGTAGGTGAAAAGCACACACTTGTGACTTGGCAGGGCTAGGCTTCAGGTGGTTATCTTTGCAGTAGCTGGAGAGATCTTTCAAGGCATATAAAGTTGGATTTCAACTGTTTCAAAATCTTTTGCTTGTGTTATTAGGTCAAGGTCTCCTTCTCCCATCGTTGGAGGCCGCAACGACCAGCACAACGCGACTTACTCTATATACCGGGTCCTAGAGAAGTGCACTTGGAAAGTACCAGACGCAGGGCTTTTTCTATTTCTGCCCCTGCCTTATGGAATTCCTTGCCGCCCTATATGAGAGCCATGTGTGACTTAGGGCCTTAGCACAGTGGTTCTCAACCTGGGGTCCCCAGATGTTTTTGGCCTACAACTCCCAGAAATCTCAGCCAGTTTATCAGCTGTTATGATTTATGGGAGTTGTAGGCCAAAAACATCTGGGGACCCCAGGCTGAGAACCACTGCTAGCACTTAAGACCTGGCTTTTCACTAGAGCATTTGATCTATGTCAATTATTAATTTTTGTATGTATGTATTTTTATCTTTTACAATTTAGCTTGTAAATCGCCTAGAGCACCTCACAATGGAGGTCCAGGTCTCTGCTGTGAGCAGATCTGCATTTTTCCATCTACGTCAGGCTAGGCGACTGGCTCCCTACCTATCTAGGAATGAGGCTTGACTACTGTAACGGCCTCTACATTGGCCTTCCTTTGTCAGTGATCCGGAAACTGAAGCTGGTGCAAAATGCGGCGGCTCGTCTTCTCGATGGGGTGCCGGCGAGGTGTCGTATTACCCCAATTCTCCAACAGTTGCACTGGCTACCGATTGAGTACTGGATCACTTTCAAGGTCTTTAAGGCCTTATATGATCTGGGCTCGGTGTACCTCAGGGCCTGCTTATCCCCCTACCAACCCCAGAGATTACTCCGGTCTGAAGACCAAAATTTGCTTGCAGTCCCTAACATCCAGACCTATCATTTGTCATCTACTAGGCATAGAGCCTTCTCGATCGTGGCCCCTTATTTAATGGAATGCCTTGCTGGTTGAAACTCGAACTATCCGAGACCTACTTGCTTTTTGGAAAGCCTGTAAAACTTTCCTTTTCTGGCAAGCTTTTGATGGGTGAACAATCCGGGCTATGCCTGTTCTCACTGCCTATTGTTATTGTTATGATCATTTTAAAGCTAACTGTATTGTTTTAATCTGTTTCTGTAAAATTCTCTGAGCCAAATTGGGAGTAGCGGTATACAAGTTGAATAAAATAAATAAATAAATAAATGATGATATGATGATGATGATGATGATGATGATGATGATG